TCTGTCAATCTGTGGCTATAAACAGTGCCTTCTGGTTTTCTGATGACATGATGAAAATATAAATGGATTCTGCAGATTGCATTTTATTATCCTCAGTATTAAGCACTCAGCTGGTGCAAGAAGGAATCATGGTCTGATAATGTTGATTAAATAACCTCAGTCCTGGGCTTCTGTGCTGTTTCTTTGTCAGCTCAAACTGAACAGATATAAGGAGCTATAGTAATTAAAGAACATGTAGCAATGGAACCACCATGGGAAGGCCACTTGGGCCTATGCAATGTGGTGGGCAGCACCCCTGGCTGGCCAGAGGAGAGCTGATCCTAGCCTCACCCTTGCTACTGGCTGGCCATATGTCCTTTGTCCAGTCAGCCTGTAGAACATTATCTTTCTCAGGAATAAGATAAAGTGTTGTGCCTATAACCTGGGCTTTATTCTGGTGTAAAGAAGAGCTGTGGATGGACCTATAACAAGATCCTTGGATGCTGTGTGGCCAGTGACCACAAAGGCAGCTACTGCAGTTGTCTTGCTGACAGATGATGGAGGCCTGGACTAATGTCTTAGCACAAAGACAGAATGGACAGACCTAAGCTGTATTTTGGAGAGATTCTATTGCTCTTTGCAGTTGGTTGAATATGTATGTCTCTGTTGTTGAGGAGGGAGTTGGTAGTGACATTCATTGACATGGCTATGACTAAATGTTGGATTAGAGGACAGACAAGAAGCCTTTTGTATCAGCACATTCACAATGGGGCTGTAAATGCAGACTGTCTCACTGGCAGCTTGTACCACTCGATAGGGCTGTCCCACACCACCTGATGGGACAGTCATGCATGTGCTACTGGTGGTTCAAACCAGGGGGAACATGTTAATCTTGTTCAGTGTGAAATATTTATTAGGTAACCAGTGGAAATGTTGAGTGAGAAGTTGGATACCTGATTGTAAGGGTTCAGTGCTATATATAAGGATGTGAATTATCCATCTGTGTGAGCCGTGGAGAGCCATGGATGGAATTACACAGGGAAGTGAGAGAGGGGAGCATTGTAGAAAGAGAAGAAAAGAGAAGCGAATGAGGAGGAAACAGCTGTTTTACACTTTATATTTAGGCACTGTGGTTTTAGTACTGAGATCACTGGCTATACGTGATGGGAAAGTGGAATGACAGTTTGTAGGAGAAAATCACAGCCTTCTGAAAAGTACCTGCTTTTATACAATTTAGGGACAATACCCATGTCTTTCAAGTGAAAATCTACCCCATCTTCTATTTTATCTCACTCCCTGAATCCAAGGACCATTATTTTGTGACCCAGCAGAATCTCCTCTTCAGATCATTTACTAAGGATTGCTAACATTTATTTAAAATGCTCTCCAGATCCACAGTTTGTTAGTGGGTTTCAGTTTGTGTAACAGATCACTTTCAACAAACAACATAAGATTAATGAAGGTATTTCTGAAATATTTATATACATGGTAGTTAGTGATCAGACTGAGAAACTTTTGCTTGGCAGACATTGACTCTTTGTAGCAATTGCAGAATGACAGTAATAAAGTAATTAGTAGAATGTAGCATCATGATATACAATGCATTACATTATAAACACATCGTAAAATTGTTGCCATGAAGTCCTGTGGTTTTCTTTATTAGAGTGGCTCATTAAAATTCTCCATATTCCAGTTATTTGAATAGTTTTGCGCAGAGCCATGGGTGTAGACAAACCCAGAAATAGAATTACCTTTGGGCCCCATGGAGAGGAAATTGGGTACAGACGAGCTTCTCCAATAATTACTTGCATATAGTAGTGTGGTGCACATTAAAGGTCCTTTGTTCTGCTTTTGGTTTAATTGCTAAGTCAGAAGGAAGGATTCCCCCCCCCCAACACTGTCCAGGTTTTGGTAAATTAGCCATTCATTGGCTATTTTAATGTGCCTGGTCCTCCAACAAATATTTTGGTTAGTAATTAAATTGAATTGATCCTGAGCCATGAAGCTGAAAAGAATCTGGTATAGGGCTTTCCTGAAAAGCACACAGGGCATAGCTGATGACAATAATGACCATCGTAGGTTCTCCTGAAGCTCCCCTGGAGTAAAGAGAGGTGTGCACAAGTTCTGAGGATCCCTGTTCCCAGGAAAGGGGAGGTGTGTTATGCCCACCTTTAATATGATTGTGGTGCCCAGGAGTTTCTGTTTGTGCATTCCTACATCCTTATTTGTGTATTTAATAATTAAACACACAAGGCCATTGTGCTCAACACCTTTAGTAAGAACCTGTAAGAACTTTGGATTCCACTATGATGAGAGGGGAGTTCTTGGGCTTGTGAGTGGAGTGGTGGCTTGAGCTGACTTTAGAGTCTCACCCTAGCTGCTGATTGATACTAGATGGATGGGAGACAAGGGGAGGAGCAGGGAGGCCAGTTAAGAGACTCCTGAGCTGTCCAGAGTGAGAAACCAGCAGCTTGGAGAAAGATGGTAGAATGGACGTAGTGAGAATCAAATCAGATCCTGACTAAGTTTTGAAGTTGAAATCAACAGGATTTTTTTAAAGCAGCCTTTTAAAAATTGACATATGTTTATAGTATATAAAAATTACATTTGTTTTGGGGAATTGGCACACACACAGTATCTCAATTAAGTCTATAATCTATTTGTTTTATATGTTTCATCTGTTCTTTGTCATCTTTCCCTGTTCATTACTGCTATTATTATTTTCATGCCCTTTTTATTGCTACAATATATTCTATGGTTCAATTTTATTTCTTTTATTGGTTTATTAGGGTTACTTTTTATTTTGCTGTTAGGAGTTTCCTTAAAGGTCATAATACACCTACTTACCTGGTATTTTGTAGGTGCTGAGTAAGTATTTACTGAATGAACAAATGAATGAATGAATGTACCTCTGATGCCCCAGGTGCAGTTTGGCCAAGAGCCAGAGGACCATGAATGGCCACCAGTTCGATGTCTGACAATTATTAGTTTTTCCTAGCTTTTGGTTTTTCCCTTTCTCACTCTGCTATTTTTGGATGTGGCTTTACCTTCAGGTCTCTATGCTAGCCTCTCAAGGTTACAGATCTGTATTCTGTCTTCCCCCAACTCTCTGATGTTTAAGTAAATCAAGACTCTATCCTCAGGCAGTGCTTTTCTTGGGCTTCTTGAAAGTGTGTGCATTGGAGTCTTTGGGTGGAAGAGCCTGTGGCCTTGATTTACTGTGGTCAAACCCCCCGAAGTAACATATCCTTATCGGGACAAACAGATTTTTATAAGGTACCAGATAGGAAAAGAGCTCCAAAAGAAGTGGGCTAAATTTAACTTTAGCTGATCTAGGCAAAGCTACACATGGAAAGGAAATTAAGGCTTAACAGATTTTCCTCATTCTTGGAATGCTACCAATTTTTTCAAGGTTGTGAATATTTTTAAAAATATTGAATGTTCTAATTGAAAAATAAAAATTTATGCTCTTTTTCTTCTTTTCCAGCAAGTAACTGGCAGAAGTTTTGGTGATAAAGATTTTCGGACTGGATTAGAAAATGGAATCCTTCTCTGCGAGTAAGTATAGCCTACATTCCACTAGATTTATTCCAGCAGCATTTTCAATACTGTTCAGTTTGTAAAGCTCCTAGTTTTTATTTTTTAATTTATTCACAGTTTAAATATGAAATGCAACAGAATCACTGGGCTCAGCAAAAAACACAAGTAAATGAAGGAGTCTTGGAGTGTAATATGGAGGGGGACCATGGTGACTGCCAGCAACATAGAGAAGGAGGATGTGTCCCGTGGCTGCTATCAGCTCCCATCAGCTTTTACTGTGCAGGAATTTGGGCCCAGGTGATTGCAAGGATGTAGACCTAATTGTCATAAAGTAGGAACCTTTTCTCCCTGGTTAAGCCCCCAACAAAGCCACCTTGCACCAAATGAAAACAGTGCTTTTTCTGCCTAATGCATCTTAAAAGCGCACCAGGTGATGTTCCTCACCCACTTTCATGGATGGATTTTGCATAGGAATAGTTTCTGCTGCTGGAGAAGTACATAGGTGGATAATAACTGCAGTGTTTAACTTTTGCTTTGAAGTTAGGCTCTGTTGCAGATCACTGCTATGACAGAAGGGAGAGCTTTCTATGAAGTGATTTTCAACACAAAATAAGCCTTAGTGTTTATTGATTACATGGACAGAAACTTCAAACCAAAGTTTCAAATGTGGATTTATTGAATAGGTTCGATAATTTGGGTACTGATTTTTGTTTTATTTAGATGTACCAACAGTGAAATATGCTGCTCCTAATTATGTGTGACTTGATGGATTTTCCAAAAATGTATACTTGTGTGCATCTTAGCCTAATCAAGACAAAACAATGCTCTTCACACCCCTTCCTCTTGAGTCTCAGTGCCCCAGAGACAAGCATTGCTCTGATTTTGTTTCACCATAGCACCTCTTTCACCTTCTCTTGAACCTTACATTAATGGGATTTCAGAATGGAGTAGTTTTGAGGGTGTTTTGGTTACTGGTTTGATGTAGATGGAAAAGCATGGATTTTAGAGCCTGAAAACAAAAAGCTCAAGCCCTTACTTGCCCTCTCAAGTCTTTAGCCTTCGAGTCTCTTCTTTTTCCCTAAGTGGTGATAATAAATTTGTACTCCATTTCACACGCTTTTTGTGAACATCGACAGGATAATGGGTAAGGTATTGTGAAAGACTGTATCATGCTTTATAAGTGTTTGCTTTGCCAAATGTTTCAACACCGTCTGTGCCAGCACTTTCCCTACCTTTCCACAGCCTTTCGCCGTTCAAAGAAAAATTGCTGCCCTCCAGTCGCTGTTCCCACCTCCTTTCTATGGAGTCTCCCTTCTCCTGCCTCTCTTACTCAGCTCCTCTCTGCCCTGTATCATGCGCAGATCAGAGCTCACCTGGGGTAAGCCATAATTAGTTCAGTGCCTCCTGACCATAGGGGAGGCTTCAAAGGCTTCCATTCCGCGCTCCTTTCTGATGCTTCTGGACTCAGCTCTCTCCTGACCACAGACTGCCGGGAGCTGATCTCATTTATTTGGCCATGCTGTCAGAGCTCAATTCAAGTAGATCTTCAGTACCACTTTTTGTTCACCTATTTATTCCAAAGATTCTTATAGGAATCTATCTTTCCACTCTATTTCCATGACTAAATCTGTTCCGGGGGGATTATTGCCTGACTGACTTTGTATTCATTTTTTTTTTATTTTTTATTTTTTTGTTGGACTTTGTATTCATTTACAGACAAAGCTATGGATGTAGAGGAATTTACACACAAAATTTGTTTCTTTCCTGGTTAAAGATGCCGAGTTAGAGGATGGAGTCTCCCTGTGTACAATGCCTCTTCCCATGACTGGGTCTTTTACAAACACAGTAGTGAATGTTAGGGTGTTGAGATATAAAAGTGGGGTTTAGAATTATGCCATGATTAGGAAGTGGTCAGAATGACACAGTCACCCACGATAGTCAGGAGCTTCTTTAGATCAAGAAAGGACTTGGACTGCTGACAGCCTGAGAATGAAGCTGAGGAGCTGTCTCACATGGAGGATGTGCTCTGTGGATAGGAGGACAAAACCCAAGACAAGTGAGTTATTGCCTAAGTCCTCTAACCATGGGGGATCAGGTTTCCTGGCATGTTAGAAGAAGGAAGAGTTTCAGAATCTGAGCACCAAGGACTAAGTCCGGCTTTCCCAGCGTGACTCCAGCCAGCGGCTCTGGCAAAGAGTCTGCTAAGCAGGACTGAACCGCAAAGTTAGCCTGAGGCAAGGAAACAGGAGCATGAGCCCCAGTCTGAACCTTGGAGACAAATCTAGGTCAGGAGCCAAGGAACCCAGATTTTAACACACCTCTAAGTGCAGGACTCATGGAACCATGAAAACCAAAGCCATGACCCAGGAGCAAAGTGTAGTGAAGGTGGGCAACAATGGAGGAAGAGGGTTTCCTTCATCACCTTACAGCTAGGATTTGTCTGAGCTAAGAGTGTGGGGCTCCCACAAGCTGAGATTAGCAGGTGTATTTTCTGGGACTTGCACGTTGTGGTCAACTGAGCAAGCAAGGGGATTTGTCTATTCTAGAGATGGAGCTGGCTTATGGAAGGGGATGAGAGGCAGAAAACTCAGTTGGAACAGTCTTGGGACAGTTATGATTCTCAGACAGTGGAATCACGAAGGTTTATAACACCTGTATTTGGAAATTAAGTGCGAATAGTCCAGGCTGTGCCACCCCTCCAGAGCCAGAGAGAATTCTATGGATGCTGCTGAAGGAAGAGTTCTGCCTCATAGCTGCCACCTGTGCTTCAACATTGAAACATAAGAACTGAATAATTTCAAATTTTGAAACTTAATAGTTCAGCTCTCCTTAGAATGGGGTTTTCGTATTACATAGCCTTCTTTTTTGAAAAATTCTATTCAGAGGATTCCATCTCTGTGTTATTCAAAATAGAATCTCCGCTGGTGTCTTGTATGACCACTGGCAAACCCACAGGCAGTATTGGTGGGTATTTACTTCTTTTCATCCAGGTTGGATCTACTGTTATTGTTGCATCTGTGTCCTGACCCCAAGCTCATTGCTTACCCAATACCTTGGGTTGTTTATGAGTCTAAAAAATCTCATAGTTCTTGTCAAACAGAACAGTATCTTCTGAGTCTAGGGTCTGGCTTCCCTTTTGTTAGCCAGGATTCAAACTACCTTGTATCCTGAAAGGTGCTATTACTTCACCCATTTTACAGAGGAAGTAACTGAGACACAGAGGATTAGATAACTTGGCTAAAGTCACACAAATAAGAAAGATTTAAATTCAAGACATTTAATTCCTTAGCTTTGCCTCCCAAAGCTAAGATGAGAAGTGAGGGCACAGGAGAGCTGAGAGGAGAGCAGGCTGTGGGCTGCAGAGGATGCAGGGCTTTTGATTTTCTTTAAAGCCTAATGGAGGTAAAGGAGAGCAGGGCACCCGGGCTAATGACTGGAGACAGGAGAGAGAAGATGGACACCTCCAGGCTGCATGTGAGATGGGAAATAAGTGCCTCGGAATCACCCTGGGAAATCTTTGACTGCATGGCTCTGTGAGCGCGACTCTGTACTGTGTGTGACACTTGCGCATAAATGTATAACTTACAGTAAGTAATAGGAAGTCTCACATAGCCAACATGAGCCTCACAGAATTATCATAAATGTTTTTCTCTCAGCACCCACTCTTCCTCTGTTATTTCTGCTGTGTCTATAGAGTGAAAGTTTTCCATTTAATGCTAAAATGACGTGAGCCCTCTGCTGAGAGTTTAATAAAAGGTCAGAGCATGATGTGACAGAAATGCAGACATATGACAACTGTCATGCTGTTAGAAATACTGCACTGTGGTCTTGAGAACTTAAGGGTAAAAAAGCCTATAGATGGTCAGTTCCCAGAGAAGCTGCTCCCAGGAGGAAGTGGCCAAGGATCGCCTTCTACCCCATCATCCAGACTAGATTGTCTAGAGATATTTCCAGAAAGAGAGCCTCAGCCATTTTTCCTGAATGATGTTATTGTTTAGATAGAACTCTATGGAATTACATCTAGATAAGAGGTTGGCAAATTATGGCCTTTGGCCTATTTTTGTACTGGTCTTCTTGCCAGGAATGGTTTTTACATTTTTAAAGGGCTATAAACCAAACTAAATGAAACAAGAGCAAATATATGGCTCACAAAACCCAAAAAATGTTTTCTGTCTGGTTCTTTACAGAGAAACTTGACCATCCCCAAAGGGCTATGGAATTAATTTTAGATGTAAATTGTTTATTCTTATAAGGTTAAGTAATTGAGTTTAGCCTGTTCATCAGGCTATTTGGGTAAATGGAATAACTTTTTACAAAAGATTTGCTCAGGAGTTTCTTTATAAATTTTCTCCACAACTTTTTATCTAAATAATTTTAAGTTTATAGAAAATTTACAAGAATGTAATATATAAGCAGTACCCACATGTCCTGTGCCTAGATACATGAGTTATTCTCACTGGGTTATATGTGCTCTATTTATCCATGCATATATATGCCTGTTTTTCCTGAACCATTTGAAAGTAAGATGCAGATGTTAACGAAGTTCAACTCCTAATCTCCACAGCATGTATCTCCTAAATAGAAGGCCATCTTCCTACATAACCCTTCAAGATATTTAGCAATAATATAGTAATGTCTAATGTAAAGTCCATGGTTAAGTATACCTAGTGTCCTCAGTAATGTCATTTCTACTGAGTTTTAGAAATGTGGAACCCAGTTGAAGACCGTTCATTGCATTTGGTTATCATTTCTCTTCAGTCTCCTACACTTGAACCTTAGTACAGCTCTTTGTGTCTTTCATGACATTAATACTTCTGAAAGTTCCAGATCAGTTATTCTACAGAATGTCTCACATTTGGGTTTTTCTAATTGCTTCCTGATGATTGGATTCAGATGAGACAGTTTTGGCAAGAGAACCACATTTTTTTGGGGGGTACTGGGGATCAAACTCGGGACCTTGCACTTGGGAAGCAGGCGGTGGAACCACTGAGCTAAATCCCCAGTCCTCCAGGGATTCT